TTTAAAATAATATTCTATTAAATTAAAACATTACAAATGTATCCCTGCCTAAAATATAGGTGCTAAGATTTTAGATTAATATTTGAGTTTAACCTGTACACCATTCCTGTTTAAWAACTGTAAATACATTTTGTAAATGCTTATGTTATACATAAATGCATTAAAGACTAACGAATATAATGATAATAATAATAAATAAAATAGATAACACTTAAAAMCCCAGAAAATAACTAAAACGGCGTTTTAAGTAGACAAACATATATACACTAATGAGTAGAAATAATACTAATTTACGGCTGMACAACAACAGTACACATTTTAACCACATTTTAACATACAGGATCAGTTATTGAACTTGATCTAAAATTTTAGATTATATGCCTGCTCACAGATCGTCAATTGAGTAATTGGAAATAGTAAGTAACTAGTAGTAAATTGGTAATAGGGGTGTGTGTGCTGTACCTTCTCGTGGTCCCCYTTGYCTAGTAGTATTGTTAGTACGGTAAAATTAAAACCCAATAAACAAGAAAGTTTTTTTTCCAATATGTTAACACGAAGCTAAACAGCACAAACCAGGCGGCCAAACGTTAATAGACCTCCGGGCCTTTTTGGCGAAAACAGCGCTTCTCAAAGCTACTCATCTGACAGATGTGCCAAACATGCAATACAATTTTTAATCAAAAATATAAAAAATTTAAAAAATCAAAGAAAATACCAAAAATTGATGACAACCTAATACATAGTGATTTAAAAAACAATAGTCTTACCAGGAAAAACACCAAAATAGCTCAATTAAACATAGAAGGACTGACACGAGTTAAAGTAGAGGTAATAAGAAAAACTTTCTCTGAAATAGATGTTTTAAGGTTTTAACAATACAAGACACTCATGCTCTTGAAGAGGATACAATAGAGGCTGCTTTGAAGCTCTTAAAAAGTGGTTAAGCTACTGGTATAGATGGCATCCTACCYGAGTTTCTCAAATTCTTGGGGTCTAAAGGTAATGTGTGAATAACAAATCTTTTTTTCAACGGTAAAAAATAGAAATGTATTACCTAAACTAAGGTGAGAAACAAAAGTAATTGCTATTTTAAAACCAGCTGAACCAGAAAACGATTCAAAGAGTTACAAACTGATATCACTACTATCTGGTTTCAGACGAGGAAGAAGCTGCTAAGAGCAGGTCACTCCCATAGAGAATGGTTTTAAGAATAAATTAAAATCAGGGGCAGTTTTCCTAGACCTAAGCTATGCATACGACACTGTCTAGAATCRTGGCCTTCTCTTAAAATTAGCGAAAATCCTAAAGTGTAAAACATCCATACGGCTTATTGATAACATGCTGTCAGACCAGAAATTACACATAAATGGGAAAAAGAGTAAATATAAGTACTTTCAAAATGTACTCTCTCAAGCGTCTACCAGTTCCCCAGTTTTGTTTAATGTCTACACATTCAATTTTGTGAACACTGCAACATCACGTAAGTTTATGTATGCAGGTGATGTAGGATTAGTAGCTCAAGCTGACTTTTTTGAAAAATTGAAGGAGATACTGAACGAAGATCTGTCAATCATCCACAATTATTTCTATTCTTGGCTCCTAATTATTAACCCTACCAAAACGACTTCCATTGCTTTCCCTTGCATACATTGCTTTCACCCCGGTATGGAAGAGGAGTGTCTATTCGAGGAAAGTAAATGTTGAATTTCAATAATACAATGAAAATTATATCAGGCTGTGTCCGGGCAACAAGAGTGCAATGGCTCCCAGTCCTCTCAAATATAGCACCACCAGAATTACGCAGATACGCAACAACCATTAAGTCCAAAACTCGACAAACCTTCCGATATTTAATGACATATGTAAAGCATCATATAAAAGACTAAAATAAGCTAGAAAGTTGAAAACGTAGTAAATAGTTCTCTTATCAACGACCCGACTCAGAAAGTTCGAGCATTTGAATTTCCTCATGCAATGTGGTCTGCTTTAAACCGTATCAGGACACAATAGGGAAAATGTAAGTTTATCTTACATAAATGGAAAATCACAGATACCCCATTCTGTGAGTGTGGGCAGTTTCAAACCACCAAACACATTGTCGAGTCATGTCTCATGTCCATGAACAACATTTGAAGGAGGAATAGCAGAGCTCCGTAAAGACGGCAGTGAGGCACACGATTGGCTACGCAACCTAGAACTACACATTTAGAAAGTTGGCAAATTCCTATTTATATCATTTGTATGYGTTATTAATTTCAGTCACACTCTTAAATATTTATTACAACAATCATCTATGTTTTATTTATTTTATTTAATAATATTTTACTTGTTATTTTATTTTGTTTTGTTTATATATTTTTTATAGTTGGGAACTCCATATATTTAATTTGTATTATTTCAGTTTATTTAGATAGTATAATCGATATTTGTAATTTAGTTAAGTTATGTATATTTTCACCAAAAGTTACACATCATATCGGACTGCATAAAATATATTCAAGAAAGGATCAAACACGGGATGTCACACAACTTCGATGCAGTCCTTGGAGCCAAACACCAACCCAACGCAGATTTAATTAACTTCCTCAAGCAAACCAATATTTATAACCAAATCTAAACATGTAAGCAAACGTAATGTAAAAAATAAAATAACTAATGGCCTTTGTTGCCGAAGTTGTAAACGATCAATAAAAAAAAAAATGGCATGGTATACTCAACCCGTAATATATAGCAGAGTGACTTAACCAGTTTCTTATGTTATTTCTAAAAAAATATGAAAAATATAAAAATGCAATTTATTGGCTTAGGACAATTAGTTTTCTGTTCAACTAAACTCAAAAATATAATTGTTTTTTAAATATATTTAAAATTAATATGCAATATTTCTACTAATTATAATATTAATTTAATATGTAACCAATGACAACTATTTAAATAAGTAAAAATATATTTATTTTTTGTTATATGAAAAAACATTAATATCTGAGCTACCTTTTAGCTACCAATAAAGGTTGGAAAAATAATCTATAAACATCCTCCAAGTCTCAAGAGTATTGATTTTATTTGAAATGGTGCTGTAGTTTTTGAGTCCATTAATTACAGAATGACAGACCAATATTCATTTTATGTATTATATAAATTTAAAACAATTATAACATTCTTCTAAAAAAACACCAAAGTTTATATCTTCGAATTTTTCGAAGTACAGTGTCGCTGGACCTTGTGTCACTTCTCTTAAACCACCACGTCTTACAAGTTACAACATATTATTATAATATTATAAACTACCTATTTTCTTATTGTACATAGTATTGTCTTTTCTTTAATATTATCTGTGTAATTAATAATAACAATTATTACAATATATAATTAATTGATCAACATTTTATTTAACAATAAAATCATGTATAAATAATAAAATACCCTGCTGTCAAATGTCGTTGTTTGTATTGTATTTGGTACCTTAGGTAGGTGAAATGAATAAATAATTTACCGTTATTTTATCCTCTATTAATATATTATTATATCTGCTAGATTACTATTAACGTTAATTTTTCAATGTTGTAACTGCAATATTATCTTCATTTATTTGCATTATATAAATTGACATATTATATTGTTTCATATATTAAAAATTGTTTTGTATATAATTTTTGCAGTAAATTCAAATGAGTATTTAAGTTGAAGAAAACTATCAAAAAAAAAAAAAAAACATTGATATAATCTCGTTGAAACTGTATCAAAATTATTTTTAAAATAAGTATATAAATCGTTTAAGCTAATTGCGTGTTATAGTTATATACTAGATAGTAGGTATATATATAGTTAATTATTTGTATCGAAATGAAATAATTCCATTTCAATATATTGAATATAATACAAAATAAGTATATAAAATTACACATACCACTTGATGTGTCATAGTTGCCTTAATATCTAAAATACAATTACTCCTTACCAACGTTTTCCGGGGTTTTATTTAAATAACATTGTTATGTTGAACTATGTGATTATTTCATAACAATAATATTGGTTTATCCAATCTGTCTTCGATTTTTATCTGTCATGCGTGAAGACCCAATTGGATATAGCCAGAATATTTCTCTCAAACATTTATTTATATTACTTATATAGTTATATAATAATAGTAATTTTCTAAAATAAACGTAACTAGTTTTCAGTGCGACGGTCACACATGAGTTCGTTAAGAAAAAAAAATAGATCTTTGAAAATAAATGTATTATGTATTTGTGGTAATGAAATTATAAAATAATATATATTAATTGCAATATTGGTATATTATCAGCCACTATAAATTCAAGGCGTATTTTTACATTACACTGATGGTAATACAGTATACTATAGAATAATGTACTATATAGTAACAACAATTGTGTGCTATACTACCATTTTAACATTCCGATATACCTAAGCTATAACTTATAATAAGTAAAAAAATAATATAAATAGTATAAAAATAATAATATAATAGTAATGATTATAGTATGTATAAAAGTATAGTATGTGTGATAATTTTGCTGACAAGTAAGTCAAAGCAATTAAATTAAGGACTAGACTGTGATATAATTATTTTCCCGTGTCCTTTATGTTGGAAAATGAATATAGTTATCGAAAGTTATATGCCATATAATTACTTCGGAGTAGATCATCTGAAAGTAAAATCTATTAATGTGGATTATTTTAAAATTAATAAATAATTTATCTATTTATTGTATTTTTCGTAAATATTAAAGTTTAATTACATTATTATATTCAATATTGACACAACTATATACAATTCATAATAATAATTTTATATTTTAATTATGAACAAAATTAATCAATTTATTTTTAAACATTATATTTTTAACAATAAAAAATTATTATAATTGTTATAGTTCGAAAGTCGACTAATATTAATTTTAATTTCAAGTATTAACAGCAGATGACAAAAAATAATTTACTTTACTAATTTACGGTTGTTTACAAATCTTTGTTAGAAATTCTAAGTTCCTGTGAACCTGTTTTATATTATTAGCGATTRTATTCTTGTATCAATTKAAATTTTTAAAATGCATTACCAAATCGTGTCTTTAAACTTGTTCATAGACGAGACTTATTATATACATATCGATTCATACAAATATTGTATAGTATAWACTATAGGCAAATGAAAAATAATCGATTAATTACCAATTAAATTCAAGGGTATATGTACTCGTTTTAGACTCGAGCACGACTGTCAATAGGGAAAATCTGGATAAAATCTTCACGRAGCAACGAAGTATCGATCGAAACGTATTTTCAACCTTTTCCCCAGGAAATAAAGAGGAAAGCCCACGTGAAAAACAAGTAAAAACAATAATACAACTACTCAATATAGGTAAAAATAATTGTTTGTACATACTGCGTAATCATTTACCTATTTGGCTTCTAATAGTGTTCGTAGTGGTCGGGATGGTTGGAGTGACCGGTCTTGTGCACAACCGCGTTAAAACCGTTTTCCTTGTCGGCCACGTACTCGACGGTCCTCAGCGTGCCGTCGGGATCGTGCACGCTGTACGACCCTTTCACCACATCACCATCTCTGTACTCGTGCGCGGTCTTGTAATCACCGGTATGTGGGTCTTGTACGCCGTACTTGTAAGAGTACTTTGGATGAGCCTACAAGAAACATACACGTACACACACTCACGTTATGCAATTTTCTATGCAATTGAAAACGCAATGGCATTGTAAGTCGTCGTCCTACGTTTGGTTTTTAGTAAAAGAAACGAAAAATATATATTACATAATAATAGTATTATCATGTCATATKTTTGCACTAGAACGACCAAGAGCAGACACAATGCACATTTTCATGGCATTTTATYGTAGGAAAATAGGAAGTGTTARTGAGAACACATCGGTTTTGTACATTTTACTATATAAAATCATATAATGGCGATACTCACATAGTAGTCCACGTGGTCGTCATCGTCGTGTCCGCCACCACCGCCGTAACCTTGAGGATATGATTGGACCGTAAAACTGACGTACAGCAGGACGCAAGAACCGATGATAACCTTTGATGAGGAAAAAAAAAGTTAAACAGACGAACAAAATGTATCTCAAATGGACCATGTTCATAACACTGTACCTTGGACAACATTTTTCTTGACGTTGAAGAATACGAGTCTCCACTATAGGTAATTATAATATTGAACGTATTATAAAGGACGATCGAAAAATGTCTAAGAACTGTACACACGTTCTAGATCGATTGATGGTGAGAATCTGTTGTATACCGTTCTACGATCAACGTTATATATAACTACATCGTTCCACGCAGTCTTCCACTTCTYTTCACGTGGTCCATGTTGCAAACGCAAACAATTGCATAACGATATAATATTATTATATAGCTATATAATATATATGCATCACCTGTACAATAAACGCACAGTATTTTGTTTGCATGGCGAAACGGTCCATAGGATGTGTTCATTATAGTCATTATTATATTTTAGTCATTATGATTTTTTTCTCTTTTATTATTGTAATCGATGATATAGAGGTTTGTAAGGATTTCCAAAATAGATTATTATATTATGATGCCGCTGTAATTTTTCAACCCCATTCGGCACGTCTGTATGAAAAGTTAAAACATGTGACATTGTGCGAGAAGGGTCGTCATATTGCATTGCATAACACGTATTATTATATTATTTCTAGTTCAAAACAAATAGTGATAGTTTTCAACCGATATTTTATGTAACAATAATATTATGAACTGCTTATAAGTTATTACGATGTATTGAAAGTTAAACAAAAAACAGGTGAACCACAAAACAGTATTTATTTACGTTCTATATTATAATAGGTTTCATAAAAAAAAAAAAATAATAATATATACATTTATTGATTATTATGTGTACAGTGAGTATAGTGAGTACATGTTAGTTGGTGATAAACATGTACCTATTCATTGTAATTTTTTCTGGTAAACTTAAATATTTACATTTTACTTACGAAAATTTATGCTTGCGTCTTCTGACTTTTTGTACTTTATAGTAGAATTTTTTAAACACTACTTACTTTTAAAATCGTTAGTATGAAATTAGCATATATTATTTGTATCTTCAACTGTCATCATTGTTTATATTTAAAATTATAATATTGAAAAATTTATAAATAGTATGTTTACATTTTGATTTATTATATTTATTATTTGAAAACAAAATAAATCTGTTTAATTATTATCATTATTACAAGCATCGGTAACTATTAGAATTTTGTGGGTGGAGGGTTATGTGGATCATGGATTCGTCACTAATCACCCAGGTTAATCACACATCTGGGAACTAGATGTTGAATCTACAACACGTTATAGTAACTGATGTCAACTACCGAGCCATACTAGGCCCCAAMAGTTTTTTTTATAACCATAGCTAGTTAGTGTTTAGTAAATTCTTATTGGACAAAGATCAAATAATTATCTTCATTATCTATACTCAGATTTTATATGACTAAAACTAAACTTTAATATGAAATGTAATAATTAGTCAAATAATTATTTTGTTTTAGATGTTAAGGCATGTACAAAGTGTCCCGTGAAGACAGGGGCGGATTTAAGGCACTRCGAAGTATGCGGGCGCATTGGGCGGCATATTTTGGGGGATGGCAAAATTAGGTTGAATATTAATTTTGATTTTGTAAAATTAGGTACATAATTTGGATAGGGGTGGCTAATTTAATTTGGCAAAGGGGTGGAAAATTGTTAAATCTGTTCCTGCGTGAAGATATATACCCATAACCACCCGGATAAAAACCAGTTATTTGCCATTTTATCTATGAACTAAATAAATTATAAAAATCATGAGATTAATAAAAATAAAACGTTGAAAGGTTAAAATTTTCAGCAAAATAAACTCTATCAAAAAATAATTGTTAAACTTTTTACCAACAAAATTAATTAAATTTAAAAAAAACAAGGCTTTGTCTATGAGAGTTTAATAAAAAAACAGATTTATGATATATTTACTATTTCARGAGATATTAGAAGACATTGCAAGATATCTCGTGCAGGCCCGGCTAAAGGGGTAGGCGGCATAGGCCCACGCCTAGGGCGACATTTAACATTTTTGTAGTCAAGTTCTAATGAAATGTTTACATTTTTATTATGTTTTTATTAATTTTAGATTCTGAGCGGAGCGAKGAATGTATTGATTTTACCATGATGTGTGTTTTTATTTTTTTATGTTTATTTTTTGGGTCTCATCACGTTTTGGGGCATTATAAATGCTTTGATTTTCGACTTCAGTACTTATTAATCTAATTAATTGTTAATTTTATGTAAATAAATAAAATGAACTCAAAATTAAGTCTTTTTTAGTATTGTTTAAGTAAAAAAAAAAATTGATGTAGTATTTACATGTAAGTGGCGGCAAAACTCAAGTTTGCCTAGGTGAGTTTAAGGACTTGAGCCGGGCCTGATCTCGTGGGACATCCTGTATATTATTAACTATCAAGTATTCGTTCTCGTAATATCATCACTCATCAGTAAGAATTTAACAAACAATATACTTTACGCATATTTTATTATTTTACCATACCACAATTTAATTCATAAGTTCACTTTCTCCTCCAATACAGAAAATATGAGTCCACTATCAATCGTCTTAGAGAATCAGACGTAAATGCCAAAACAACACTTATATTTGATGAGGAAGACGACTCCCTATAAGCACATATTGTGTGGTCCTCCTCATTGACAGACATATTCTTATCAAATGTAGAATTTACAACATGCAGATGAGAAGAAAACTACAAATTTTCGATCACCTATTGGAAACAATAAACCCTAAATCAACCAATATACTCATATTATCAAGCTCATAGTCAATGTCTATCAATAACACATCTCATATTCTCATCAACCTACTGTAACACGAATCCATAAATTTCCACAATATATCATTTCAACATCTATATTTATCCTTTATATTTATTTACTATTATTATCTATTTTTTAACTTGTATATCTCTTAATATCTGCATTATGTAATGCAATGATGTACGTTCAATGTCCATATTGTAGCCGTGGATTGTTTTTTCTCAGTAAAAAACAAAAATAAATAAGGAGAAGTTCGTTTCAAATAAAATATTAAATACAAATTTGGATTTAAATCTTTAGAAAGAAAACAGAACATATTTTTTATTTAGTTTAAACTAAAAATTAAATAATGTAGGAAATTAAACGAATAAATACTTATTACTGCAAAATTTATTTTGAGTTTTGACGATTGGTTTATCTTAAATACGATTCATTTTTAGTAAAAAAATATATATCTATATATCAAAAATTAATTAATATATATATAATGTGTGTATGCAAATAAATATTTCTTCTATGAACTTTGATTATAACTCTTATAAAAGATGTATTTTATATCACAGAGCTTGATGTTGTAATTTAGTGACCTTCGATAAAATTGAACGGCCTACATATACTTTTCTTCTTCAAAACTATACAATATCATTTTCTAATTTATTTTTCAATAATATCGTTTAAATTGATAATAAAACTTATAAACTCTTGACAATGATGAAAAAATTACTATTTATTGAATGAAATAAACCACTATGTATACCTATTACTCGTATTGACAAGCATAACCATTCAACCATATACAATTGTTAATTAGGTATAATATATGTATATATCACATATGCAATAAACCTTATACGCGTCTTTTTACTTGTCAATGCTGTAAATTTTAATTTGATGATATCAATAGGTATACGATTTATCAATATTTTTCTTGCTATTAATGCTGAATAATGTTTTTTGGAGTCCATTAATTTATTTTAAAATGTAATCACATCTACGTAATAGGTGTGAAATACATAACACTTATATTTTATTTTTACAACAGCCTTAAATAATATCAATGGAATTGGTTTTAATTAAGAATTTTAAAAGTCACACGATTTTCCATTCGGGCAGACAATTTATAACCTAGGTATACTGAGTAATTACAAGGTTCATACGTCCAAAGATATTCTTCAAGGATACGTTTAATAAAAGATTTTTAAATGCGTTCTATATTAATAATTTGAAATTGATAGTTCTTTGATTAAAAATCTATAATAGAAGTGATAAAAAAAAATATAGATTTTGAAGATTTATATAGGTCGATAGTTTGTTAATGAATGTTATCTACTTTTATGACAACAACTAAAGTAATTTAAATTTTTATTGTGCATAGACGAAAAAAATCAGTAAGGAAGTAAAAAGAAATATACCTACCTATAAATATATAATTAATAATTAAAAGATATAAATTATATTTTTCAAATTTGAATACACTGCATGGAATAATTAATTATATTTTATTTTTAAATTTGATTCAATACAAAAATTAACTTAAACTGAATTATAGTAGCCATAAATGGCAAATACTGTATGGTAATAGTAATTATGGGTATAATATGATTATTGACTATGATTATTTGATGATTAAAATTGTGTAAATACGAGTATACACTATACATATTTACATATTATAACATTGAAATGTTTTGTAAGATTTTCACGATCAAAACTTTAATGCATGAAAATGGGTTTCGACCAAACGGGCGCGTGAAAGACTATATACCTACGTGTATATTCTTTTTTTTCTAGATACTCTTGAATACCAACGTGGTTTATAGGCTAATAAGTTATACATTTATAAATTATAATATAATATGTATAATATATTGTGTTAAAGTGCKATCGAATAATATTATTTAAATAAAAATCAAATAAACATAATGTACGCAAAATACATCTCCCCASACACATACACAAAATCGTGCATACGCCCGCACACATACATTTTTATATAATGTGTAAGTGTGTACCAATGTTCGATATTTATAATTAGGTTATAATGGTTTAACGGCATCGTTAATCAACGTGCCACGGCGGTGTAAACGCGCATTAGTATTAAATTCGGGCACGGCGTTTCCAAATTGCAAACTAACATAAATTCGGCATGACAAGTTCGACGAACGAGAGAGAACAACGATAGGAAAATGTGTCGAAACTACCATCTTAACTGTGAACGGATCATTCGCCGCACGCCATGGCTAATCGCAACAACTATACACGTAGACTATATAATATTATGCTCCATCTGGGTTGTGCAAACCGCCAAAATACATTTAATAAGGCGTGATTGAGCACGGCGGCCTTGTGTTATTCCACGGAAACATAACACATCACGCAATGATTGATAACGCACACGCACGCACGCACACACGCACGCACACACACACACACGCACTGTACACATTGTACGAATTGTACCATTGCAGTGCGTAGTTGGTCAGTATAGTCTCATCAGCAAGGAATAGACTATAGATTATGGATACGTTAGGTGGCAGTATTGTGATAAACAGTTCCCACCAGTTCCTGATATTTGAATAGGAAGAAAAAGGTATGGATACATAGAAAGGAGCTTAGCAGATAGCTAGGGATGGACCGATTGGTTTTAAAAAAAAAATAAATAAATAAAATAAAAATATTTGCTGAATAAGTCGATTTTCTAAAGTCAAATATTATCATCATATATTATGAGGATCGCACGGAGATGYTATGTTATATTGTTTTATAAACCTTCTCAAGAACGTAGTAATAATATTATTTTTTTTTTTACATATATAAAGGCGTTGAAGTGATTTTTGTTATTATATTTTGATTCGTCTCAATTCTGTTTGTTTTCACAACTATACCAGTAATGTACATAATTTATATTAATTAAAACATTCACAGATTCAATAAATCYACTGATTCTTCAAATCGAGTTTTTATATTGTCGTGAGTTCCCGGACTGTTAGTACCTWCTAATATTTGCAAGTTACAACTGCGTGGTAGCGAGAAACGCGATTATCCATACATMGTCGCGTCTTCTTATAATATTGTACATAATAATAAAATAATAAAACTACAGAGTCGTAAAAAATGTAAATTTATATTCATCAAATACATTTAGGTTCTAATTTAAACTACATTTATAAAAATTCGTTTGTACATATTATATATTATAATTATGATTATGATATTCATAAACGCATCGGGTCAATATGAAAAAAAAATCAAACTTAAACTAAATAAACGTTTATTGCTATTGAAACAATACATATGATATTATTAGAAAATGTCTTTAAAATCGTGGACGCTTTCTTTCGAAATCTAAAATGCTATTGGTCGGTGGCAACACGAAGACCGGGAATATCTGCGATTCAGCCGCCTGCAGTTGCAACTGTTGCCGGTACTGTTCCACTGTAGTGGCTGGATTCGGTTGATGGAAGTATTGCATCGGCACCACCGCGTGGTGTTGCTGTACGTTTCCCCTGATCTGCAGCTGCGACGGATGTGCCGGTATGTTGACCTGTTGCGGGTACTGCTGTTGCATGACTGACTGTTGGTACGGGACTTTTTGCTGTTGCTGTTGCTGTAGCTGTTGCTGTTGCTGTAGCTGTTGTTGTTGCTGTAGCTGTTGTTGTTGCTGCTGTTGTTGCAGTTGTTGTTGCTGAAGTTGCTGCTGGTGCTGCTGCTGAATGTATTGAGGTGGTAACGCCTGCTGCGACACCACTCTAGCCTGCTGTGGCTGATATTGGACCGTTTGCTGCTGGTTCGGCGTCAACTGGACGTGTTGCTGCAAATGAACTGGTGGCTGTACCCTTACTGGCTGTTGTTGGTACTGTTGCACTTGACTGGGATGGAGCAACTGCTGTTGGCCCTGAGGCAATCTCAACTGTTGTTGGTGCACCTGTGTAGGCTGATACTGCAGGTAGTTCTGTTGTTGCTGATAGGTGGACGGCGGTGGCTGCTGCTGTTGCGGTTGTTGGAGTTGTATCATGATGGGTCCCCGATCGGGCGTGATGGGTAGGGGCTGTTGACCGGGTAGTAGCGGTAGCGGTGAGTTGTCACCTAGCGATGGCAGGGGCGGTACGTTTAGCACGTAGTGTGACGGCTGCTGGGCTGGCACTGTGCCTTGCTGCAGGTTGTACGGCACTACGGGCGGTAGGGGCGCGGAATTYTGGACCAGTTGATTCGGCGGTGATTGCTGAGGAGAACCGACCCGGTACTCAGCGTAAGACGATTGCAACTTGTCTTTCAGCTGGTCCCCGACGAATGGCTGATTGGTTTCCTGAAAGCCCGGCGAGTCTTCCGGCCGAAATGTCGCCGGATCCACGTTGGTCCTTTGCTGGTGATACGCGTGCGCCGTATTCACCCGTTGACCGGCCGCRGCCGCAGTGCTTGGCGTCGGMCGGTGATACTTGTCATGCAACGGTGATTTGTGTTGTTGCGATTGTACAGCCGAATGTATGATCTGTGATGTGACCCGCTGTACGGGGTCCAGATTAGATCCTTCAGCCACGTACTTATCATCTCCTCCATTGTCCTTGACGTATGCTCTGTGACAATTTGATCAGGGTAAGTATATATTTATAATGTGTTAAAAAAAAAGGAATAATTTGAAACAATATGTATCCTAAAAAACAAAATCAAAGAGTTAATACTATTCAAATAGCAAACCCACTGGCTTAAGCAGAACACCAAATTAAGAAGAATAAAAAAAAAACAATCTTCGGCTGGCCTAACGCCTTTCCAAACATAAGTGATAAAATATTATTTAATAAACTCCAAATTGGCCTRTAACCCGACTTACACATGTAAGTGTACCAAAAGAACAGAGACCAAGGAGCAATATTATTGTACAAATGAACTTACGGTCAACCACATATTCACAGAACGCCTGCCACACACAGACAAAATCAGCAGCCTCTACTTACCCAACACCTTAGACGCAGCACTTGGACTCTACGCAAATACCCGCATACTAATATTAAAGTTTTTAAAAATTTTAAATTTTACAACAAAATATAACAACAACAAAATCAACTAATGGCAATTGCCGCCGATGTACAAATAATCTATCAACCATAATGATTACAAGCTTTGGTGACAGCAATCATTATAAAATAAATGGTATTTTTTGAAGTACAGAAAATTTTTGTTTTTTTGTAAGGGATTTGGTAAACCTACAATCGTTTCACAATCGGATATACAATGAAATCATTGAATTCGATTCGACATTTGATATTTCGCAAGGATACGTGTTCACACGTTTCAATTCCAAGGTTTAAAACAGAAATACAACTAAAAAATAATTAGTACTGTGATTCGTTAAATGTTTTGAAACATTTCAACTAGAAAATCCATACAAGCCATGCATGGCTTTATCTGCTCTCGGGAGTGCCTTATCGTCTTGATTTTTTTAAAATTCATGCCATGAATAAAATAAGGAATTTATATTTTTTTTATCAATAACAATTACTTTAAAAATATTATTAAATTTATGTTTTGGAAGAAAAAAGTGGAGATTATAGTACCTAGTTAAGTTAAAATATATTAGGTATTAAATTATATAGAAAGACAATGATATACAAATATAAATATTTTGTAAGGCACCTATGGGAATTATTATTTTGTTTGTATTAGAATAACGAAAATAACCAACATAGTAACGTTATATTCAATAGATATTTATACATATAATATGTATAAAAAYTATAAATATATTATTTAGATTTAACAATAAATACAAATAATCAAATAATACATTTACTCAAAAATTTTGTRATGATAATATACAAARTAAGTTTGTTTTTTATTTTGCACTCATATGTAGATTAATTTWAACAAATATAAATTAATTTTAACATATCGAAAATTTAAAGAACCTATAACAAAACTAATAACATTGCACTGATCTAAAAACCTAATGAATAAATAATAACTATTAACTAATAACCTTTCACTTAGTTAAATAAATTAATATTATAATATATGAATCGCGTCTGATTTATTACAAATTATCTTCACCAAAACGTTATAAACAGTTAATTATAAAAAYCAAAATTACTTCTATGCTATTATTGAGTCTTTTATTTTGCTTATACAATCGAAAATTCATATTTTAATAAAAATGTAGAATAAAAATATAATACGTAGAATATATAATATATGTTAGAACTTAGAAACGCCCAATAAAATTAACTATACCTAGGTTAAAAAAATTATTTAAACTTCCATCGCATATTATTTATTTTAAATATACAGACTCGATCCTAAACAAGCATATGAGACATATTAACATAGTATTTTTCAGTAGATATACACTATACAGCATMGGTAATAAAATAAAAGTAGAACAAATTAATTGGAGCTGCAAAGGTTGTATACGTAGGAGATTAGCGGTATACATCATCCGGAAAGAAAATTATTTTTATTAAAATATAATATAATATTATGTACCACAAATTAATAACTGATATTTTAACGGTTAATATACTTTATGTACAAATTCATAAATATKTAGAATATTTTTATATTTTTGTCTTCAATAGTTAAATACAATCTACATTGCAGTTGCAGATAACATATATTTTCTTGTATTTAATTYGTCATGGGCTACGCTTTACAGGATCAGCTGTACCTAATTAATAATATATAYACTTCTTATATAAAATCAGAAGTTTAAAATTATATCCAATCATTTAAAAACAACTATTTTATTTTATTTAACGAATGGCAACTACATAAAAATACAAAATAATGGTTTATCGAGAAGAGTAAACTTGTAAACTACGTATGTTTAACGATGTTTAGGAGTAAAATGTTAGTTATAAAAAGTAGCTTGCAACATTACGGATTTTTCTRAATTTATACTATCATAAATTTCATRAAAAGCGTTCAAAAACTTTRGGTGTTCATAAAATTAATCCGTTTTACACATTTGATTTTATATAAAAGATATTTTATTATAAATATGTAATATTTAATATTTATTGATTATAGCTTATTTTGTACGGCATTGCCTTGATAAATTAATTAATGTCAGTGTATTTATCCTGCCTTAAACTCCGTTKATATGAACTTCACAAAATTATAATAAATTCAGCTGGGTAGTTTTGATGAAACATAAAATACAGATCTAAAATTATACCCAATTATAATAGTTATTTTATTTTCTGTAACCATTGATAACTCTATACATTTATTTTACATCTATTTGTTTTTTGTGAGCCAACAAATATCTCTATGAACCCCCTTTTTAAATTAAAAATTAAAAAAAAATTTTTAGAGCTCAATTTTATCAAGTATAGGAAATCAACATTTTCAAACAGAGCCAAAAGCAAAAAAAAAAAAAATATTTTACAGAAAATAATTCATGAATCTAAAATCTAATATGGACATAGATTTCCTCATAAATTCCCAAATTAAGAATTAATACCAAAAAAATTCAAAACAGCATCCATATTTTAATAATAACAAGTGACAAGACTGATGAAAATCGTTGTAACAAGTTTTTCAAAATTTTCACGACTTGCATAATTCACTTACTTTACACCATCTTTATCCGCTACGTAGGACACCACTCTTATTTTACCATCAGGTTGGACTTGCCCGTAACTTCCCACAACACTTCCGTTGGGATGACGTTCTTCCATACGGTATTGTATGTTGTTTGTTGGTGCATTTTCTACGTCGTATCTAAATTCGTACGTGTTTGGTCCCTATAAAATCCACGAGAAATACGGTCGTAAAAATCATTCAAAACAYAAAAAATAACCTATACAGTGTAATATTATTATCGTGTGAGTTTGTTATTCAGTGCGCTCTCGCGATTTTATTTTAATCTACATACTTTGTGGTCTTTTTTCGACGTGGATGCCCATTCGTTTTCTAACTGTCTCTTATCGTGGACTTTCGTGTCGTCTGCAAATRATTGTGTGATCAACCCGACGACTACCACCCATACAAACACTTGCACTACCGCATCGAGTCTTGTCTGTATTATGTATTATATGCAACACAGAATCAACCGAGTCCGATCATTAACAACAACAGATATTACTAATAGAAAAAAGTACAGTGCAAAGCAAGTTGCATGATCTTAATATTGTCAGAACATGAAATTATATAGTTATAGTATAAAACAAACATTATTATATTTCTCACTTGAACGTAGCCGATGCGTGAAACCATTTTTACTCTGCTGAGGCCTGACTACTGGTCGCTCTGTGGTTGTGTGTATTATAATTATTTTTTCTTCTAAATACTTAGCGTATAGGTACTGTAACTATTTGTACCTTATATGGACGAGTAACGGTTTTACCGGTTTTCAAATCGGTTGCTCTGGAATCGTGTTTCCTGTTCGTATAGCGTTGTGCTAAAATAATAAATCGCGTATATAAATCACTCTTTCATATCATAATATAAATAGTATTGATGAACCTCATCCTGAATGTACACTAATGCCGAAAAACTACCGTTTTACATCAAACCATGATTGCGTTCACCGTGCAACTAATAACTAATAATCGGTGAAATTATCAGTTTTTAAGGATATTAAGACTCGTATGCAACAGACACACGACCTTGGTAATATTTATATATGTGTCCGTGACCAATTATCAATAAGAGGCTTTTTGTAGTCTAAAAAGAGAGAATTGCATATGAAATAGGAAAGAGAAACATATTATACATAATAATATTTATTTGAAACTAAATAATTACAGTATACACAGGATGTCCCTAATTGTCCCTATATATGTATTTTTAATAAATATTAAATATATTATAGTATGGATTATTGTTATAGGCACTTTAAATTAATACAGAATAAACAACCATTAATATTAAAATATAATTGCCTATATAAATATTGCTTGTATAATATTATTTTTCCTATTTAATAATATAGGTAGGCATCTAATACAAATAATAACTTATAGATCATGGGTATATATGTTACATTAAAATATTCAATTMTACGAYGTTAATTGTTACTGTTCAGTGTTTACTGTAAATCGACCATTGCAATATTAAGGAATAAGAATATTATGTTACATACACTTACACAATAGTAAGTATATCAATAGTTTTCCATAGGTCTTGCAATATAATAGTTTATATACTTACTTAACCTCATCAAACGTATATAAGAAGAAAGTTGCATTTTAYATAATAGCATTCAATAAAACATCAACACATACGACGTAGTTACTACATAAATAATATGACAAAATAATTTTAAAAAATATGGTATTTTAAGTAGTATTAAAAAAGAAATATATTACTACAATTTATAAAAATCCGTACCATATCATACTGTCGTAAACATATTTTCATAACACTATAGATATAATATAAGCAACTACTCGTCAATCAATAAGTGATGTCAAGATAGTCAATTGATAGGTACTTGACACTTGTTACTTGTTGTATTACATTACACAATATATATATTATATATATACCTATATATAATAAGATCAATATAATTTTACACTGACAAATAGCAAAAGCATATTTAATATAGTAATATTTACACTAAAATCTTAATTTTATTAACAATCGACATAATTTAATATTTTGTTTTCAATATTATATATTACTTGACGTTGGTGCATTAATTWATTTATTCCTGTAAGGAAATTTCCATACAAATTATTACACAAACATGCAATATGAATTGCATACCTAGTACTTCATGTGTGATTGACCGTTTCAATTCTATATTTTAGATTTTAGTTGTAACCAGGAATTTCGGTCCTGCCCGAGGTAATAAAATAAATTCGGCCCTCTTYTCATCGTGTATCTAGTTCTAGTATGTATGTATTTTCCATGAAAACAAAACAAAATAAAATTTAAGGGAATCAACTTTTCTCAAACAGAATCAAAACCTCCTCAAATTTTAAAATAAATATATGAGGTCTTCGACGTCAGAGGATATCAAATTAAATGATTAAATAATTTAAAATATTTTAAAGAAGTATAATTAGGTATTTTTTAAATTATGTTTTACTAATTAACAAATAACAGTATTTAATTTAACAAGCAACATTTCTATTAAATTAAATGACATATTTATTTTTAAGTTTAAAATTTAATTTAATAACATATTTTCTTATCATGACATAAAAATAAAATCATCTTAGCCTAAATTGTCTCAATATATTAGTTCAAAGTCTTAACTATTGGACCGTCAATATTTGCTTTAACAAATTACTTTTTTGTGCTATTCAATCAATTACATCGTTCTTAACACTACACAAAATATCTTTTTCTACCGACATAAGTAAAAAATGTTCCAGTTTTTCTTGAGACAACATACATAATATATTCAAAATATATTTTAGTTTGGAAAATGTTCGCTCACAACTCACTTGTGTGAAAGTTAGCGATATAATATATTTATATGCTAAATATAAATTTTTGTATGCACTCATATGTAATTGATACTGATGAAGTACTTTAAAACAACAAATTATGCAATCTTTACATGCTGACTCAGGCG